CACCGCGGAAGCGGTTCTCGAAGACGGCCGCGAGCGAGGCGAGGAAGCCCGAGTCGAGGTCCTGCAGGACCTCGGCGACCACCCCGTCCACGCCGGGAGCCTTCGTGGCCTTCATGTCGCACGGAGCCTCGCGGAGCATCTCGGGCGAGAAGGGCGGGGTATCGAGTGCATCCTCCGTCGTGCAGTGGGTGGGGTAGGTAGAGGCCCCGACGGGCTCCTCCCCGTCGCTGGCCCTGAAGGTGTTGCCGTGCTCGAGTTCCAGGAGCTCCTTGATCCTCAGCGGGTCGTCCTCGATCCCCCCTCCGTGTTCATCGGCCGGTTGTGGATCGGGCCAGGCTGAGCTCGGCGAGGCGCTCGTACTCGGGGATTGCCCGCCTCGTGTAGGCAGTGCTGCAGGGCCCTGTTCGCGGTCCAGACCATCCTGCGAATCCGGATGATATCCTTGCTGTAGATCGCGCGCTGCACGCGGTCGCGGGTGATCCGCCGACGCACCCCTAACACTCGCAGCGTCTGCGTGAGCTCGCGGCCCTCGGGGAGCTTGGGGACCTTCCTCGCAGGCGGGCCCCTGCCACGGGCAGCGGCGGCCAGGTATGCAGCGTCCGCCATGGAAGTGATCGGCGCTGGGTTGCGGTCGGCGCAGCAGGCGCTGTGGCTCCAGCGGTGGGAGCGGTTGTCGAGGCAGGTCCAGCCCTTCATAGGCGCGCGACCTCCATTCCAGATGTAGCGCCTCATGGTGCCGAGGGTGAACTCCAGCTTGATGGCCGAGTGGTCGGATTGCGCGCTGTCGGTGATCTCCTCGAGCGTGGCGCTGACCTTCCAGATGTCGCGAGCAGGTGTCAGGACATAGTCGATCTGGGCTGGCGGGTGCTTGAAATCGTAGTGGCAGGTGGGTCCGCTGGCCGCCGCGGTGAACGTTTTCGTCGCCGCCAGGTCGTGCTGCATGAGAAGTCTCGTCGGAATTTCGGCGCGGCGTGTGCGCTGGCCGACTGGGAAGTCCCCAATCCAGCGCTCCTCGTCCGCCTGCGGCGGGGGCGAGGCCGTCTGCGCGCCCGCGCCCGCGATCGGGTGCGCCCCAGGCGGTGCCATCATGATCAGGTCGGAGAGCGCCTCCATGGAATCCGCGCACTGAGTGAGGGAGCGCCCTGGAAAAAAGGTGACTGTATACTATCCAATAGTCCTTCTTGCGGATGCGAAATAGGCGTGCCGCCGAGCGCCCCCGCGGCAGCAAATCTCCTCGTAGAAAAAGTCGAGCCCGAGAGCGGACCAGCAGCCCCATCTGCTTTTGCCCCTCGGCCCGCGGTGTGACCAGGTAGAGGTCGCCCTCGCCGGCCTCCTACCTCGTAGTCTTGCCCCAGTAGCCGACCTCCTAGAGGACGGCCACGTCGTAGTCGTGCTGCTCGCGCGGCGTCGCCGCGACGTACTCGGCGCTGTGCTTCGCAACGCCCTGAGCGTTCCAGCTGATGAGCTTGAAGCACATCTGCTCCTCGGACTCCTCCAGAGTCCGCTTCTTGTCCAGTCATTGGCCCGCGTTGACTTTGGCCTGGGGCTCGACCAGGCTGAAGTGCACGCCCGTGTGGGCGCTGATATCGGCCGCGACGTGCTCCTTGAAGCTCATGAGGCCCGTGGTCCTCGCCATCTCGCCGAGCCTGTGCTGCTTCCACCAGATGATGCCTCGAATGTAGTCTAGCTCGAGGTCCGCTGCCTGCGCGCCTAGGTTGTCGGTCAGCTCCTTCTTCGCACGTGAAATTATCATTGACAACCGAATTTCCTCCGATGACTTCTCCACAGAGAACCAAAAGCGACGACCCAGGTGATGTGGCTGCGGCATAATTATCTGCTTCCCTTTCATCGAGCGTACCCAAGCCCACATGCGCCCCGAACTCGTAAAACGGACCTTCAGGAAACTGGCGCGTTTGAGCGGGGCGAACACCCCATCCTCTGCTTTGTCGGGAATGGCGTCGGTAAACGCACGAGCTTCGTTCAGGATGGTGTCGCGGGGTGCGCCCCGATCCCAACCACCAATAATCACGCAAATCTTGTCGTGCGCCCTCTTCGGCCCCGACACGGACGGCTGCGCCGCCGTGCTCTCGACCCCCGAGAAGGGCAGCGGATGCCCGACCGAGGAAGCCGCCGTGGATGAGGGAGCCGCCCATCGTCCCTCTCGTAAGTCCTTGATCTCCTGCTCCATGTTGTTGAGGCGCCCCTCGTGCCTTTCGACGTCCCTGTGCACATTATCGATGGACGTCTTCACGTCCGCGAAATCATTCGCCATCGGCTCCTTGATCCCGGAGCGCAGCATCTCTCTGAAGTGCATCATCATCGTGGGTCCGTCCATGGCTGCTTGCGCGAGCGGCTGCGCGAGCCCATCGACTGCTAGCACGATGAGGCAGAGTCGTGCAACAGATGGCAGCTGCGAGCCCCAGCCCATGCCGCCGCTTGAGCCAAATTGGCGACGATGATGATGACGTTGATGATGCTGATGAAGAGAATAAGGAGGATGAGGAGGTCGTTGTCGTATGGAAGGGGAGGGGGGGAATCAGGAGGGGGATGATGAGCACAAGGACGCAAGGTATTACCCAATGTATTTCCCTATGAGGTAATTACCTTGGTGCCGAAGCTCTGGCTAGCAAGCAACACTAGCGGCTGCAGCAGAACTCGCCCTCTGGACGTCGTGCGCCGAAACCGACCCATTTTGACTGAAATGGGTCGGTTCCCCCCTGCTGATGCTGATCCCGCCGAAAAGCATACAACACTGCATGCAACCCAGGCGCTCGCACTGAACACGCTGCTGGCTTAGGCGGCTGCAATCGAAATTACTGGCACGGATGCTGCGTCAACTGCTGGAACACTCTTGCTACCACTGCTCACAATGCTAGCTGCGGCCGCGGCTGCCGCGATGGCCCGCTGGGAACCCCGCCAATGGAGAGTTGCTTTCACTCTCTTGGGCATGCCTTTCGGGTGGGGCCATTTCCCCGAACGCAAGCGTTTCAATCTGCTCGCCTTTAAACTTTTTGACCGTGCAACGATCTGACAAGCCTGAAGCATACACCGATGCGTAGCACCCGCACTTCACATACACATATACTTATAGGTATATCTGTATACGTGTCGCAGGTGTGTATATAGATGTTAGAACCATCAGGCGCGCTTCGCGCGCGCTCAGGTTCTAGCCCAGGCTGGAGGGGCGCTGGACGATTTGGGACATCGCTATAAGCACAGGCGCGTGACAGCATCTGAGGGGCTATTGGGGGGTTCCGCATGCTTCCTCAATTGGCTGTTGGAGGCACCTTTTGGGTGCTTCTTGGGGAGGCGTCTTGGGGTCCCTTGGGGGCATCGGTTCTGCAATCAGAAGCCGTCATTGGCCGTCTTGGCTGCGTGGAGGCCCGACCTGAGGTCACCTGGGGCCACATGAAGGCAATCCGGAAGCCTCCTGGGGGCCTCCTGGAAGCAGTTTTGACAGATTGAGGGCGACGTCTCCTAGGAGATTTTTTGGCCCTCGGGAAGATTTTGGGGTCCTCGTCGGACCACTTGGGGGCCTCTTGCAGCCTCCTGTGGGCCTTTTTGGGGGAAGGCTCAGCTGTTGGGTTCACGTTCCCCTTCTTGGGCCTCTCTTGGGGCTGTCTTGGGGCCAATCTCGGGCGCCTCAAGCGCCGTTTTGGGGCCCTCGTGGGCCGTCTTGGGGCCCTCTTGGAGGCCTCTTCCTCTACCTTGGAGCGTTATTGGAAGCCTCTTGGGCCGTCCTGGAGCATCGGAATGCCAAATGGCTGACAACTTTTTTACCCGTCAAAGTCCCATCGGAAAACAATGAGTTGTGCCTCTTGGGGCCACTTTGGGAGACCTCTTGGAACCCCTTCGGCCCTCTTGGGAGCTTCTTGGGGGCCTATTGGATCCTACTTGGGGCCTCCTGGAGCTTCCTGAGAACCTCTCGGGGTGGAAAGCTTCGATTTTCAGTTCGCGTTACCCTTCTTGGCTCCCCCTTGGGGCAGTCTTGGGGCCCTCTCGGGCCGTTTTGGGCGCCTCTGGCGCCGTCTTGGGGCCCTTTTGGAATGTCTTGTGGCCGTCATCTAAGCCTCTGGGGCTCTTTTGGAGCGGACATTGGGGCCTCTTGGGCCGTCGTGGAGCGTCGGGAAACTGAAAAGGCGAGAACTCGAACATCCTTCAACAACCGAACAAAAATCACCGATGTTTGCCTCCTGGGGTTCTTTGGGGGGCATCTTGGAGGCCTCTTGGGGCGCCTTGGAGGCCTCTTGGTGGACAATCGCGGGCGAATTCTGGGTAATCTCGGGCCGCCATTCGTCTTTTTCGCGGCCTGGGAAAGCCATTTCTTGCGATCCGGGGCCGTCTTCGGGCGATCTTAGAGAGCCCCCCTGGCGCCCCCCGCAGGGCCCCCGGCGCCCTCGTCCTGCAGTGCGCCGTCGAAGGACATACATACATATATATATATATATATATATATATATATATATTATATATATATATATATATCGGAGGTGAGGGGGTGAGATCGAAGTGGAACGGAGAGCCCCCCTACCGGGAAATCGATTTCGGTTTCGTGTTCGTGCGTGCCGTGCGGGCGGGCGAGGCGAAGCTGCGTGGGCGGGCGAGAAAAAGTCTCCTGTGGCTGAGGCGCGGCCGGACCAAATGTCTCCCTTCCGGGCGGCCGGTGGCCCGCGGTGTCCCGCCGGTGTCCCGCTGGTGTCCCGTGTGGCTGAGGCGCGGCCGGACCAAATGACTCCCTTCCGGGCGGCCGGTGGCCCGCGGTGTCCCGCCGGTGTCCCGCGGTGTCCCGCGGTGTCCCGCGGTGCCCCGCGGTGTCCCGCCGGTGTCCCGCGGTGTCCCGCGATGATGATGATGATGATGATGATGATGATGATGATGATGATGATGATGATGATGAGATGAGATGATGATGAGATGAGGATGATGATGATGCTGATGATGATGATGGTGATGCTGATGATGATGCTGCTGATGATGATGACGATGATGATGATGATGATATGAGGATGGTGGTGTCCCGATGATGATGATGCTGATGGTGTCCCGATGATGAGGATGATGATCATGATGATTATGTTGATGATCATGATGATGACGATGATGGTGTCCCGATGATGATGAGTATGATGATGTTGATGTTGATGATGCTGATTATGATTGTGTCCCGATGATGATGTTGATGATGATGAGGTTGATGATGATTATGGCGTCCCGATGATGATGATTATTATGATGGTGATGATGATGATGTTGCTGATGATGGCGTCCCGATGGTGATGATGATGACTGTGATGATGATGATGAGGATGATGTTGATGCTGATGTTGGTAATGATGATGATGGTGCCCAGATGATGACGATGATGATGATGCTGATGATGATGTTGATGATGCTGATGATGATGATGATGTCGATGATGAGGATGAGATGATGATGATGTCCCGATGATGATGATAACGATGGTGATCATGATGGTGTCCCGATGATGATGCTGCTGCTGATGATGATGACGATGACTGTGTCCCGATGTTGCTGATGATGATGATGCTGATGATGATGATTGTGATGATGGTGATGATGATGATGATGATGATGATGGTGGTGGTGTCCCGATGATGTTGATGACCGTGATGCTGATGATGTTGGTGTTGATGATGAGGACGGAGTCCCGATTATGATGATGTTGGTGATGATGATGATGATGATGATGATGATGTTGATGTTGTTGTTGATGATGACATTGATTGTGAGAGCGGTTGTGATATCTATAGTGAGATCGATAGTGAGACCGAATGTGATATCGATTGTGAGATCGATTGTGAGATCGATAGTCAGATCAATTGTGAGATAGATCGAGTGAGATCGATTGTGAGATCGATCGAGGGAGATCGATCGAGCGAGACCGATACTGAGATCGATAGTGAGACCGATAGTGAGACCGATCGAGTGAGACGTTGGTTCCTCCCCCCCGAACCTCCCTATCACCCGAAGGGTGGTCGTATAGGTATATATATGTATGTATATGCACATTGATACTTATACATACAAGCATTTTTGTGTATATAGACGTATATTGTATGTATATATACACATAAATATATACATATATATATATATATATATATATATGTATGTGTATATATACAGGTATAGTTGTATGTCTGCCTGTCTGTCTGTCTGTCTGTCTGTATGTATGTATGTATGTATGTATGTATATATATATATATTATATATACTAGGCTGTAGACGGCCCCAAGCCTTGACGAGTTCACCGCTCCACTAAAATAGCGGACCACATATGGTTTGAACAAGAAGTGGAAATTTGTCCATAACGCTGAACGCATGACGGACAGTGAGAAGTCCACGTGTTTCAATCCGTATTCCAGAAGGCTTTCGAGGGAAATCGTTGCGCAGGGGGGCGGGCGCCTGATGAATGGGGTTCCCAGAACGAAGGCCTTCTGGGAACATGGTTTTTGGGGGCGTCTTGGGGAGCCTGCTGAGGCGCGCCGTCGTCGTCGTCGTTGTCGTCGTCCTCGTAATGACGTCGTCGCCTCTTGGGGCGCGCCGTCGTCGTCGTCGCCGTCGTCGTCTTCGTCGTTTCGTCGTCTTCGTCCTCGTGGTCGTCGTCGTGGTCGTCGTCGTCGTCGTCGTCGTCGGATGGGCCCCTTCCCAGGATCCATCCAGCGCAATTTTTCACGCCAGATCGATGCCCGACGACCCCAGGCGACGACGACGACGACGACGACGACGACGACAGTTTTCCACTCCAGTACCGCATGATCTGGCGACGGAAAGCGTGGATCTTGTATGGAAGTGGGACCCGTCGCTGTTCCACGCGCCTCGATCCATGCTTGCGCTTCCTCGATCGAGGTCGAGCCTCGGCGATCGGCGGCGGCGGGAAGGCCTTGCCCCCGAAGCGGTCCGAGGACATCTTCGACCACATCCTCGCCCACGGGGCCGCGGGGAACCGCGACGCTCGCGCGGCGGCCGGCCGCTCGCGCGGGGCGCGCCGCGGGCTCCCAGGGGGGGGGGGTGGCATGGAGGTGAAGTCTTTTGTCTACTAAGAACCCAAATGTAGAAAAAACGCAACGAGGAGGAGAAGGAGGAGGGAGGAGGGAGGAGGAGGAGGAGGAGGAGGAGGAGAGGAGAGGAGGAGGAGGAGGGGAGGAGGAGGAGGAGGAGGAGGAGGAGAGGAGGAGAGGAGGAGGAGGAGGAGGAGGGGAGGAGGAGGAGGAGGGAGGAGATGGGAGGAGGGAGGGAGAGGAGGAGGAGGAGGAGGAGGAGGAGGAGGAGGCGGAAGAGGGGAGGAGGAGGAGGAGGAGGAGGAGGAGGAGGAGGAGGACGACGACGAGGCGCGTCGATGCCTCCAGGTAAGCGGAACCCATCCCTGAGTCGCGTGCGGACGGGCGGTTTGGGGGACGATTCCAGTCCCCCCAACCCCCCCTGGGCCTGGGTCCCCACCCCCCCAGGGGACCCAGTCTTCCGACTCCTCCTTCCGGGGAGGACACCAAGCACTCTCTTTATTGGCGTCGCGGCCGTGGGCGCGGCGACACGGCAAGTTCGTGCCTTGGCCCATGGTCAGTAGTGTCATGGCGAGCCAGACCTCCTTCGCGGCTAGCCCTAGCACTCGGCTTGGAACGGGGGTGCATACCGCCATGTCGCCCAGCCACGGTGCAGGGATGCGTGCATGAAGAAAACACCCTTCTGGTCATTCCCGCTCCAAAGCAACCATGCCGGCGACGGAACAGGGTAACCGAGTCCCCTGCCAGATGGCGAAGGTATGCGTTCGTAGGCACCATATTGAAGATCAGCCGCGCCTCCCTGGCCTCGCCCTCGGCTGGGGTCCCCGAGTTGGTCACGGCAACCACGCCAGTGATGACCCGTCGACCGCGGACCACGAAGATGCGCTCTGCGGGGATGGGCGCTAGGAGACCGCGCTCAACAAGTTTGGCAGCAATGGCCCATCAGTGCTCGATTATCCCAACGTTGACCTTCACTCTCGGCGGCGACTCGGGCCACTCAGCCTCTGGTAGAAAGGGAAAGTTCGGGCTTGGTGGGCAGCTCTACGAGCTCTGGCTTGACGTAGTCCAGGACGTCCATGCGGCCGATGTCCTTGGCTTTGGGCAGGCTGGGCTCGAGCTCCCCGAACTTGAGCGCCAGGGCCCTGCAGTCCTCGTCGAGGTTTTAGCTCGACCTTGTCTTCATCAGCTCCTCAGGCCAGTAGGGTATGTCCACCTGGGCCAGCGCGTCGCCCACGTGCCAGTCGATCGTCTCGCCGATCACGCGCAGGCTGGCGGCTGGGGCCTCAGAGAAGCGACCAACGGCCTCCCATCTGTTCGTGCTCAGGTGGCCCAGGTGCAAGTAGTTCAGGCCCATGACGTTCAGGCAGGTCCAGGTCTGGACTGCCATGTTCTGGGCCTGTCTGCCCACGGTAGGCGTCCACTTCGTCGTGCGCACTAGGGATCCTTTACTACTTAACAGGGCTCGCAATATCATATATCGTTCCCCGGCGATCAGAGATGCCGGCTTCCTTACTGGCAGGGGCAGAATGTCGCGCCCCACACCGGCCTCCAGCGATTGTGGCGCGACGCCCATAAGGAACCTTCTCACGAGCTCTCCGATGCAACTCGGTATCTTCCTGACACGGATGAGGATCATCAGGCCGATCTCAAGCATCGTCATCTTGCTCGGTCCGCTGCGGCAAAGGCGGCAGGCGACGCTCGCCTTCCACTGCCACAGCGTCAGCGCGGCCACCCCGCTGCCGACGGCCGTGCTGTCCACCGAGGTCAAGAGGCCCGCCTCGGCGGGTCCTCAGGCTTGGCCGCGTTCTTGGCCGACGCTTCCCTGCGCTTGAAGAACTGCTGGGCGATCCGCTTCTTCAGCTGCCTCCTCGACTCCCCCTCGGCGCGCGAGGTCTCCGCGCGCGCCGCCGCCCGCGCCGACGAGGGCGATCCGCCCACCGACCCGGGGAGCTCGGGCGGTCTCTCAGCGCGGTCAACTCGTCCCCCGGCGGCGGCACAGCTGGGCGATCGCGACGGGCAGGGGAGCGGCCGCGAGGAGACTGAACTCCCACGGCCTCGTAGTGCTGCGGCGTCCGGAACGGTGCCAATGTCGGAGATCGGCAAAGCTCTGCTGTCCAGGTTTCCGCCACGGCGCTGGCCTGCAGGGCGGTCGGTCGAGCTCTCGCCGCCGCCCTGGTCAGCCTTCTAGCCGCGGGCCCCGAAGCGGCCCAGCAGCTGCGCCATGCGCACCTCGGCGGCGTCGATGCCTGTCACCAGCTCCTCTTCTCACCATCTCCTCATCCTCGACCGACAAGCTCAGCCCGCCGCTGTCGGGCGGGATTAGCACAAACCACTTCGCAATGCGCGAGGGGCCATCATGTATGGTCTTCTGCAGCGCCTTGATCCTACAGAGGATGTAGTCCAAGGAGTGGGCTGGCTTGCCGGAGATCAGATCAACACTCTCCGCCAGCGTGCGCAACTCTTGACAACGCTCCGGACCGAATTCGTATGGGATGAGCTGGCCGCAATGCACGTCGCAGGAACTTCGCGGCCACCGGATTGAAATGACCCGACGTCTCTCCCACGCCGCCATCGTCCAAATACCGAGCAGTGTTCTCCATCTCCTTCTCTGAGAGACGGCCTGGGAACTTCTCGGCTATCTTCTTGTCGGCGAAACGGCGCGCGGATACAGGCCGCCCTCCAGAGACGCGCCCCTCGTCGCTTTCAAGGAAGTCGTTGTCGTCTTTCTTCTTCAAGGAAACGGCGAGCGTCTGAGTACCGAACTCTCTCGTGTACTTCCGTTAGACCCTCCATCCGACGGCCCAGCAGCAACAGGACCAGGACTCTGGTCCGTCATCCTCGCCTGCACCGCCTCGCCGAACTTCAACTTCTTCTTCTTCGCTGCTGCGAGTGGGGCCGCGCCACCGGCGCAGCCCTGCCCGCGAGTCTGCGCCCACTTCTCACGCAACTTTTCGACCCGAGCTTGGTAGTCATCCCTGGCCGAATCCTTCGCGTCCTCGGTCTTCCCCGAGAGGGCCAAGAGCTCCCCTTCGAGTTCGTCGAAGGCCTCGGTGTCCTCGTCGTCGTCGTCCTCGTGGTCCACCAGCTTGCCAGCGGCCGCCGCGGCGGCGGGGCGCTTCACGGCAGCGCCCTTCACGGGACCACCTGGCGGGAGGCCCTCCTTCACGTCCTCGACTTCGGCCTCGCCGATGGCCGCCCGGGCAGTGTCAGCCGGCAGCACGGGGCACTCGTCGTCGACCTGCAGCACCGCGGTGTGCTTCTCGGCCGCCGGCGAGGCCGACAGCCGCACAGGGGGGCGCGGGCGTGCAAGACCTGGCAGCCTGCTCGCGGTGTAACGTACCTGCACTTCCAGGCCAGCCCTGTGCAGACGTGCAGAAACAAAACGTCTCTCGCTTGGCGATCCTGGAGCTCAGCCGCCACGAGAAGTACGGGTTACGTCTTCTCCAGAGTACTCCACCTCGTAGGCTACGCCTCCAGGGTTGTTCGGCATCATCCGCCTCACGACGCCCCGAGCCGAACCACTACTCGACCCATCTCGATGGACGACTGAATGCTGGACGCAAGTGCCGAGCTCCATCGTGCTCGAGCCGTCCTCCGCCATCGCGGACTCTCAAGGCGGGCGGGCGAGCCCTGGAGACAACGACGAAGGTGTCGGCTTCGCGATGCCAAGAGCCCTCTCGCTCCTGACCCCAGGCCTGACCTGGGATTCAACCTCTTGAGCCGTACACTGCCGGATCCCCGCGGCGACGCTTTGCACAAGTGGCCCGAACATACCCCAACCCCATGGGCGTCATGATACATGAACTTTCGGAGGTCCGCGCAGACTTCTTGGATCGGCGCCGTGACCCCCTCCCTGTCGCGCGGAGCGCGCCAGGGGCGGCGCCGGGGGCGCCGCCAGGGTGGCCCCGTGCCGATTCGACAAAATCTGCGCGGACCTCCAGAAGCTCACGTTTGTGCAGCTTTCCGCCCGCTGCTTTCTCAGACGAGCGCGTTCCGCTACTCGCACATTAACTACTCGCAAATGGCCTGGATCCGCCGCGGGGGATCTACGATAAATCCCATCGAAGCGAACATATGTTTTTCGTACGTTTGCGAGTAGGCACTGTGCGAGTTGTGGAGCGTGTTCGGTGATCTCTCCTCCTGCTCCTCCAGCCTTCTTCCCCCCCCCCCGCCTGCGCCTCAGTTTGCTTCGCCTGCGCCCCATCGCAGCCAGACCGCAACTCGGTTCCGAGGCGTCGCTGACACAATCTGTCTGTGCAGTTTCTCCCGTTCGACCCCTCGGGAGCCATCCAAGGGCTTCCAGTGCATCATCGTCGACGGCGACTCCGTCTTCGACGACGACGTCGTCTCGGGTCGTCGTCGCTCGTGCCGCCGTTGACGAATCTCGCCTTCGCCATCGTCGTCGTCGTTCGCCGGGCCGCGGCGAGGCGCTCCTGGCAGCCGCGGCCGAGGCGAGGCCGCCGCCGTTGGCCGGGGCGGGGGGCGGCGCGGGCGCCCGCGCGGGCGGCGGTCGGGGCGCGGCGGATCCGCCGGCAGGGCGCGGGGGCCCCGCCGCCGCCGCCGCCGCCGTCGTCGTCGTCGTCGTCGATGACGGCGTCGTCGTCGTCGTCGTCGTCGATGACGGCTTCGTCGTCGTCATCGCCGTCGTCGATGATGGCGACATCTCGATGACAACGACGCCGTCGTCGAGGATTGAGGGTCGATGACCGAGGGCCTGGTACGCTTTTGGCCTCTGGAGTCCTCTGCAAACCTCCAATGGCATCCGCGGGGTTTCTATTCCTCCCGAGCCCTCGGGAGGCCCCGATAATCGACGACGGCTGTCTTCGACGACAGCATGCTCGTCTCAGGTCGTCGGCGTTCGTGTCGCCGTCGAAGTCTTCGCCTTTGCCGTCTTCGTCGGCGTCATCGTCGTTGTCGTCGTCGTCGATCGGAATTTGGGTCCTTCTTTTTTTGGGGGGGGAATTTGGGTCCTTCTGGGACTTTCTCAGCCTCTCCGGCGGGAGGGGGGACGTGGCCACTGCCAGAGCCGCCCCGAGATCCAACGCGCTCCAGGACTGGCTTGCGGGCCGATTTTGGTTTCGGGAAACGATGACTAGTTACGCCAACGGTGGCGATGCTACTACTACAAGCGACGACAACGGCGACGACAACGGCGACGATACCGCCGACGACGCTTCTGCTTGCTTCGGGTATACAGTCATCGTGCTACCATCGGGAACGCTGGATAAATAACAGAAGGGCTTGTCTGGCCGCGGCGAGCCTCGGCCACGAATGGACTCCACGTCTTCCATTTCTGGAGAGGCCCGGAAAACAGAGGCCACAAACACCCCGAGGTGCCCGCGCGCTGGCGCGGCCTGTGAGATGCGTTGGGCCAGATACCATCGGCCACCGCAATCGTGGCCGCAAGAATTCTGCCATACCAGCTGGCCGACCTGCGCGTGCGATGCGTTTTGCCAGCCAAGTTTCCTGGGGCTTCCT